GTCAAGAACCTAGGGCACGACTTCGGGTTGCAGGCTCGCGCAGGTAAACCAGTGCAGAAGTCCAGGGTCAGCAAACTCAGGAGGCGCGCGCATCGATTTCGGGCCCTCAAGCATCATCGTAAAGGGCTTACACGGGTTTACCGTGCAGGAGGTCTAGCCTCGGCCACGCACGGAGTGCGGGTCATGGGCATGCCAGATAGTGAGTTGCAGAAGTTGAGGGCTGTCTCGGCCTTCGCGCTCTTCGGCAAGGCCAAGGGCCGCTCGCGCGCCGTGCAGTTTTTGTTGTTGGGCCCTCCAGATGCCGATCCGTCCTTCCAGGTGAACTCGCTCCCGCTGCTCACTTGGTTGTTGGCGCTGCACCAGGAATGGGTTCCCACAAACATGACGGACACAAATATTCCACAGGGCCTTGACACGGGCCCATCAGGGCTGGGGATATGTGCGAGGCCCTGCAGGGGCCGTCGTCCAAACCCTCAGGCGTCTCGGGTGGACGGCAAGGTCGTATCACATGTGGATTGACCCCCGTGGGCTCCAAGTTGACCTCCTTCAAACTGGAATCCCCACCCTCAAAACAGTTATCTATATGGGTATCAAGCGGCAGCTCGAGCAGGCGGCCGCCAAGCACCTCGGTTGGGAGGGTTTTGCGTTCCTGGATCCTGTGAAAGCAGAGCTCAGGCAGCTTCGGGGACGTGGGCCCTCGGCTCAGGCTGACCTGGTGGCCATTCATATGGCTGGGGGCCTCTGGGCTCAGGATAAGATTTTCAAGTATAGGTACAGTATCGCTCGTGAATGCAGGTGGTGCTTGGGCGCTCCAGGTACCATATCGCCCCGTTTGTACAGGTGCGACGGTCTTGCTGGCTGGAGGCGCGATCAGGGTTTCAACGAGCTGATTTCCATAGGCAGAGATTCCCCCGACAACCAGATGGTTGACTTCGGCTGCTTGGATAGCAAGCGAGATGATCTTTCCCCTCCGTTGCAGGTCGGTGAGAGCCAAACGAGTTGGTACCCTCGGGAAGACATCTTGGGGGACTTATAGTTATTGATGGGTCTGGGTTAAATCCTGATATTGATTGGATGTCGAGGGCGGGGTGGTCGGCATGCTCTCTCAGACCAGGCGCGGAGGAGGTCCAAGCAGTTGCTTACGGCCCCGTTCCAGGCTTGGTCCAGTCCCCAGGACTTGCCGAGCACTACGCGTTCCTGATGGCCCTGACCCTCATGCCAGCCAGAGCCACGATCGTGACAGATCACAAGAACTTGCTGCTGGCCCTCGAGAAGGGCCCAGAGGTAAAGCGTTGCCCTACTCAGCCACATTGGGAGATCTGGAGGCAGATTTTCTGGAACATCGATGGCATCGGGAGAGAAAGCGTCGAGCTGGTTTGGATGCCTTCCCATTGGTCCAGGTCCTGGTATAGGATCCATGGGTATTCTGATGAGTGGTTTCCTGGGAATGCCGCGGCTGACAAATATGCTAGGTTTGGCGCTATGGGGCACCCGCCGGTGGCCCACGTAGATCAGCGTGTAGCAGCAGCCATGCATGTAGGCAGTCAGCTTGTTCGGATGCTCGGAGGAACTTTGAGCAACCTAAGCCAGAGAGGTTTTCCTGATGTAAATAGAATTCCCAAGAAGAGTAAATGCAAGCCTGTAGCTCTTGGGGCGGCCCAGCCTGTGGTCACCCTCAAGATAGACAGGTCGGATAATAATCACCTCCTCCACCTCGCAGACGGGGTCTGGGGGTGTAGAATGTGCGGCAGAGCCTCCGTGAAGAGAAGCATTGTCGTGCAGGACCCCTGTCCAGGCAAGCCGCGTGTCCTGGCCAGGTGTCACGACACCCACAGAATGTGGAGTGTCAACGCTGAACTGTTCTTTTGTATGGCCTGTGGTTGCCACGCGCGGAGGCAGGTCAAGGACTTGGCCCTGCGATGCAACCAAGGGCCAACCAGTGGTGCGGAGCGCTCACTCAAGTTGTTGCGCAAAGGTGTGGACCCAACCAGCAAGAAGGAGGTTGGGGCGCCATTCCCCGCCCACTAATTCAAATGGTCTGTGCGTGTCTTGCGCTGCGGGACACGCGCTCCGAGGCTCCAGAGGCTCCAGAGGCTCCAGAGGAGGAGGAGGAGGAGGAGGAGGAGGAGGAGGAGGAGGAGGAGGAGGAGGAGGAGGAGGAGGAGGAGGGGAGGGCGGCTGGCTGCCCCGGCCGGCTGCCCCGACCGGCCACATTATCAATGCCCGGAGCCAACTGTAGGCCACTTCGTGGTCTTCGAGTTCCCAGAACTCCATTCCTGGGCATGTTTTTGAATGCCCGGAGCCAACTGTAGGCCACTTCGTGTTCTTCGAGTTCCCAGAACTCCATTCCCGGGCCACATTTTGAATGCTGAGGCAGGCTGATGCTGAGGCTGAGGCAGGCTGAGGCTGAGGCAGGCTGAGGCTGAGGCCGAGGCGAGGCTGAAGGCAGGCTGAGGCTGAGGCTGAGAGGCTGAGGCTGAGGCTGGCTGAGGCTGAGGCTGAGGCTGAGGGCTGAGGCAGGCTGAGGCTGAGGCCGAGGCTGATGCTGAGGCTGAAGCAGGCTGAGGCTGAGGCTGAGGCTGAGGCTGAGGCTGAGGCTGAAGGCTGAGGCTGAGAGGCTGAGGCTGAGGCTGAGGCTGAGGCTGAGGCTGAGGCTGAGGCTGAGGCTGAGGCTGAGGCTGAGGCTGATGCAGGCTGAGGCTGAGGCAGGCTGAGGCTGAGGCCGAGGCTGAAGGCAGACTGAGGCTGAGGCTGAAGCAGGCTGAGGCTGAGGCTGAGGCAGGCTGAGGCTGAGGCTGAGGCAGGCTGATGCTGAGGCAGGCTGAGGCTGAGGCTGAGGCTGAGGCTGCAGGCTGAGGCTGAGGCAGGCTGAGGCTGAGGCCGAGGCTGAAGGCAGACTGAGGCTGAGGCTGAAGCAGGCTGAGGCTGAGGCTGAGGCAGGCTGAGGCTGAGGCAGGCTGAGGCTGAGGCTGAGGCTGAGGCAGGCTGAGGCTGAGGCTGAGGCTGAGGCTGCGACTGAGGCCGTTGCCACTGCGACTGTCATCGCGAATGCGACTACGACTGCGAGAACAGCAGAATTCTACAACTGGATTCTCATCTGAATCTTACGGGGAATGCTTCCAGATATGCTCCTACGCATCGCTGTTCGGTTGCTTTGCCGGGATAATTTTTGTTTGCAGGCAGGGGTATACCATACAATTAATACTTACTATATATGATACGAATCTGCTCTTGAGGACCGAGGCTGGACTCTAGATCCAAAGGTACCGCCTCACGCTGGGAGACGCGCCAGAGGCCCGGCCTCTGGATCTGTTCACGCCGCACTGCGACTTGGCCATGTCCATGCCCATTCTCGGCGGCGAGAGAGGGGGGGAGAGGAGGCAGCGGGGCTTCTCGGAAGCCCTCCTGCGTCCCGAGAAGTCTTCTGTGCCTTCGGGGAAGGCTCAGAACAAATCTCTCAGAAGGCCAGCTGACTTCCGAGCCTTATGAGAAGGCCCGCTCCTCCTCACTCCACCTCGGGCTCGCCGCCGACATTCGCTTCCTCCCCCTCCTTCTCTCGCGATTCTTCTCCCCCAATCCCCGAGTTCCGCCTAAAAAGTTTGGCCGCTCAGAGGGAAACCCTGGGATGCACCCCCTGTGGGCTATTCGGACGCACCACCCTCGGGGATGGACGCTCCGCTCCCCCATCGTACATCCCAAGGTTGGCCGCACTCGAAAGACCCACGAAGTCTGGGGTAGGGGTCGACGTAACCCCTCCTCCTCCTCCTCCTCCTCCTCTTCCTCCTCCTCCTCCTCCTCCAGTCCTTTCCTTATACATAACTTCTCCCTGTCGCATCCCCAGGCCGGTTGAAAGGGCGGGTTTCGCTTGAAATTTCTTCACCATTCATGAAGGTGAAGCTTAAATATTGGCAACATGTTCACAAATGGAGGTCGAGTCGTTTTCAACATGTAGCTGTCGCTTTAGCGCCGCGCATAGTCGTTCTCAAAATTTGCAAGAGTTTTACGGATTGAGGGCGGGTTGCTTTCAAAATGCGGTTCTCGCTTTAGCGCCGAGCCCATGCGTTTTAAACACTTACAAGAGTTTCACGGTTTGAGGACGGATGGGTTTCAACATGTGGCTCTCGCCTTAGCGCCGCGCGCATTCGTTTTTTAACATTGTCAGGAGTTTCGCGGATCGAGGGCGGGTCGTTTTCAAAACGTGGCCCTCGTCTTAGCGCCGCGCGCATTCGTTTAAACAATTTGCAAGCGTTTCGCGGATTGAGGGCAGTTCCTTTTCAACACGTGGCTTCCGCTTCTAGCGCTGCGCACATTCCTTTCTAATACTGCAAGAGTTTCACGGAATCCAATCGTCAGCGTACCAGAAATTGTGTGTGTGTGTGTTGGGAGAGATGCAGGACTATGAGGGTGCAGCAGTTACTCTGCTCCGCTGTGCCGACGTCCCAGGAACGAGGGGGCCACATGCGAACCCTACATACCCCTACCGCCCACGACTTCTGAGGGAGAGGGCGGGGTTCACTTCGCTCGGGAGCTCCCGAGCGAAGTGGACCCCACCCTCCCCCCAGAAATCGTGGGGGGCAGGGGCAGGGTTCGCATGTGGCCCCCCTTGGAACGGCGTTCTGGCGCGATCCATGATCGTCAGGACGCAACAGTCAGGTTGAGCCGTGGCGTTGCATGTTGTGGCACGCTTCAGGCTCTGAAAACGGTTGTCTTCCAACGTGGCAGTTCCCTCAGTGGCAATGAGCCATTGTAGGGGCCTGTGAAGAGGGAGCTTCGAGGGAGGGTCTATTCCAACACCGTGGGTGACTCTTGGGTTTGCGCTGGTCCTCCCTCTCCTTCCCCTCCTGGGTCCTCCTCCTCCTCCTCCTCCTCCTCCTCCCTCGCCTCGCCCTCCTCCTCCTCCTCCTCCCCCCTCTTCCCCTCCTCTCCTCCTCCTCCTCCTCCTCCTCCCTCCTCCTCCTCCTCCTCCTCTCTCCTCGTGCCCCCCCCCCCCCCCCCCGCAGGAGGTGGCGGAGGAGGCGGCGCGGGGCGTGCCCCGCTCCTACGACCCCGCCGGCGCCGAGGCGCCCCCGGCCCTCCCCAGGGGCACATGCCGTGCCCTGCCGCGCGTCGTGTCGCTTTCGCTGCCCCGTGTCTGCGTGCGCGGGTGCGTGCGTGCGTGCGTGCGTGCTTGCGCGTGCGCGCGCGCGTGCGTGCGTGTGTGTGTGGGTATGTATCTATATCTGTATCTATATCTATAGATCTATCTATCTATCTATCCATCCATCCATCCATCCATCCATCCATCCATCCATCCATCCATCTATCTATCTATCTATCTATCTATCTATCTATCTATCTATCTATCTATCTATCTATCTATCTATGTCTCTCTCTCTCTCACTCTCTCTCTCTCTCTCTCTCTCTATATATATATATATATATATATATAGACGGCGCGCCGGGCTCGGGGGCCGAGGGCCGGAGCCTCGACCGCAGATGTGGGGCCCGGGGCCCGGGCCCGCAGGCCCCAAATCGCTCTGGGGAGCCCTCAGACAGCAATCCCGGCGGCCCCAGACGGTCTCGAGACACCCTCAAGACGCCGTCCAGGGGTCTCTGGGGACGCACGTGGCGTTTTAAACTGCCCTGGAGGCCCCCAAGACGCCCCAAGAGGCCTTCAGGATGCCGCCCAAGAGCGCCCCGAGAGGGCAAAATCGTTGATTTTGTTTTTTTGTTCAATGTTTTTTCTTTTTTTTGCATTCTCGCTGTTTCGTGTTTCCGGCGCTAAAGCACCGCCCAAGAGGCTCCCAAAACCGCTCCAGGACGGCCCAAAAGGCCCCCAAGAGAGCCCCAAGACAGCTCGAGATAGCCCCGAGACGGCCCCAGAGCCGCCCAAGACGGCGCAAAAGGGTCCCAAGAAGGCCCCCAAAGGGGCCCAAGACGCCCCCAAGAGGCCCCAAGATGCCCCCAGGAAGCCCCCAAGAGGCCCAAAGAGGTCCCCAAGAGGCCCCAAGAGGCCCCCAAGAACCCCAAAAGAGGCTCCAAGAGGCCCCAAGACGGCACCCAAAAGGCTTCAATTTTTTTTCTAAGAGGCCCCCGAAGACATGCCAAGAAGGTCCCATGACGACTTCAAGAAGCAGTCCAGGATGCTCCGAGGAGGCCCCAATAATATAAGCTCGCTTGCACTTGAGCGCGCGCGAAACGCGCGACGGTTCTAACGTGTGTGTGTGTGTGTGTGTGTGTGTGTGTGTATGTGTATGTGTATGTGTGTGTGTGTGCGTGTGTGCGCATGTGTGCGCATGTGTGTGTGTGTGCGTGTGCGTGTGTGTGTGTGTGTGTGTGTGTGCGTGTGTGTGTGTGTGTATATGCTTGTTTGTGTGTGTGTGTGTGGGTCTTTGTGTGTGTGTATCTGTCTGCGTGTGTGTGTGTGTGTGTGTGTGAGTGTGTGTGTGTTTGTGTTTGCTTGTGTGTGCGACTGGATGGCTGATGGCGTCCTCCACTCTCATGCTGCCGAGGCGCCTCCCCTTCCCCGGCGCACCGCCTTGCTCTTTTGCGCTCTGTTTCGTTTTCGTTGCTTTGGTCTCCAGAGGAGGAAACAGGTAACCATACCGCTACCCTCTGTTCGTTTTCGCCTGCCTGGGCCTCCGGGGAGGCCCTCGTCGCCACCGCTGGACTCGCCCCGAAATCCTGGTCAGAACGCACCCCGGGAGAGGTTTGGAGGAGTAGCGGTATGGGTACACATTTGGCGATGCTTAAGAAAACTTAAGTTCGGCCAGAGTCTCGATTATTCTTAACGTTTCAATGTGAATCCTAAGATTTCAATCGAAATTCTTTGTTTTTATTCAAATTCTGAGACTATGAATTTCGTAACCCATGATTTCTTAAGCATTTCGCAGGGTGTACCTTTTGGTTTCCCCCGTTTTTGTTTGTTTGGTGTGTGTGTGTGTGTTTCGACTTGGGTGGTCTCTGAGGAGAACCTGGCTGGGCGTAGACGCACGCGTTCCGCTGCTCGCGCTCGTCTTTCTGGGCCTCGTCGCCGCGCGCGGGGCCGTTGCGCCAACCATTTTTTGTTATAGACATATATATATATATATGTGTATAGATGTATAAATTCATTCCCGGCGGAGCCGGGTGAAATTCCGTGCCCGGCGGTGACTGACTGAGTGACTGATTGACTGACTGATTGACTGACTGATTGACTGACTGATTGATTGACTGACTGGACGTCAGGAGGGCACCTTGAACAACACATTTCAAACCGCCCGCGGGCGCGGAAAGGCAACTACGCGACACATTTCGACCCGCCCGCGGGCGCGCAACCGCAACCGCAACTGGGCGACACATTTCAACCGTCCGCGGGCGCGCAACCGCAACCGCACCTGGGCGACACATTTCAACCCGCCCGCGGGCGCGCAACCGCAAGTGGGCAACACATTTCAACCTGCCCGCGGGCGCGCAACCGCAACCACAACTGGGCCACACATTTCAACCCGACCGCGGGCGCGTAACCTCAACCGCAACTTGGCGACACATTTCAACCCGCCCGCGGGCGCGCAAGCGCAACTGGGCGACACATTTCAATCCGCCCGCGGGCGCGCAACCGCAACCGCAACTGGGCGCCACATTTTGGCCCGCCCGCGGGCGCGCAACGGCAACCGCAACTGGGCGACAGACACATTTCAACCCGCCCGCGGGAGCGCAACCGCAACCGCACTTGAGCGACACATTTCGAACACATTTCCACCCGCCCGCGGGCGCGCAACCGCAACCGCACCTGAGCGACACATTTCAACCCGCCCGCGGCCTCGCAAAGGCAACTACGCGACACATTTCGACCCGCCTGCGGGCGCGCAACCGCAACCGCAACTGGGCGACACATTTCAACCCGTCCGCGGGCGCGCAACCGCAACCGCACCTGGGCGACACATTTCAAACCGCCCGCGGAAGCGCAACCGCAACTGGGCGACACATTTGAACCCGCCCGCGGGCGCGCAACCGCAACCACAACTGGGCGACACATTTCAAACCGCCCGCGGGCGCGCAAGCGCAACTGGGCGACACATTTCAACCCGCCCGCGGGCGCGCAACCGCAACCGCAAGTGGACCATACATTTCAGCCCGACCGGTGGCGCGCAACTGCAACCGCACCGCTCACCAGCCGTCCTCCTCCAGGGGATCTGGGGCGGAGGAAGTGTGGGGGGGAGGTGGGAGGGCGGGGGGAGGGTGGAGGGAGGTGGGAGGGAGGAGGAAGTAGGGGGGGGAGAAGAGACGGAGGGAGGGTAGAGCTCACAGTGATTGGGGGCGGACAATTTCTGCCCCCCCCCGTTCCGCGCAAGTGGATCTCCACACGGCTCCAGACCATGGATTCCTTATCCAAAGCTTCCACGGTCTGCAAGCGGGATGGGTCGGTGAACCGCCCCCGCGGGGGGAGACGAGGCTTTGACAGAAGCGTTCCGTTGCATCGCCTAGTTTGAAGTTGGGGGGGCGACGCCGCGGGGATCGATTGCGCGTTCACCCGCGCGCAAGTTGCCCGCGGATGCAGGTGCATCGGCGCCTCGCAGCCTGCCGCGTCTTATCCATGATCTGGTGCATGAGCAGGTGGAGGAGGAGGGGGAGGAGGACGAGGAGGTAAGGGAAGTGGAGGAGGAACAGCAGGACGAGGAGGAGGATGATGATGAGGAGGAGGAGGAGCAGCAGGACGAGGAGGAGGAGGAGGAGGAGGAGGAGGAGGAGGAGGACCAGGATGGCCAGGAGGAGGAGGACGATGGGGAGGGGGATGCCAGGGTGGTGCTGTTTGAGACGGTGCACGAGCAGGTGATTGTTGCGGAGGACTGAGGAGGATGAGGTGGTGGACGTCAAGGAGGATTGAGGTGGATGTCCTCCTCGCGGCCTCCGCGCGTGACCCGCGGTTTTCCGTCGGGACATTGCAGTGGGGAGTGCCCGTTCCACGCTGCTGCCTCTGATTCTTTCAAATATATCTAGATAGATGAATGTGTGTGTGTGTGTGCTGTCCAATTCGCTCTTCGGTTGCCCCGAATCGGTTCCCGCTGGTGCAGTTTACCTCTGCCTCGCCGCCGACGTAAAAAGTGTGTGTGTGTGTATGAGTGTATGAGTGTGTGTGTGCTTCTGCTGTGCTTCTGCGTCTGTCGGTGTTCGATCGCTCCTCCTTCGGTGACGCAATCTGCCGGTTGGCGCGGCATTCCGCACGTCTCGCGCTCTTCACGGCGGCTCTCTCCCCCGCACTTCGGCCGGGCACCGGCCGCTGGACCCCCCCCATTGGCGGCGCCTCCGTCGCCGCCTCTTGTGGCGCGCCCCGCGCGCCAGGGAGGAGGGCGTCAGCGCCGATCTGAGACAGTCGAGCGGGCCTTGAAGAGTCAAATGATCGTTTTCTTCCTCATTGTTCTGCGCATCGGCGCGGGCCCTCGCACTCCCCCTTTCCCCCCCATGGATTAGATCTTGGCTGTTTTTTGGCGCCTGTTTCGAGCAGGGGGGAGTCTCTCCCAGAGGACGCACCGCTGCAAACGGTCGCATTCGGCGGAGGTCCGGAGCCAGACCCCTCCCCCCCCCTGCCGCCCATTTTCTTGACATGTATGATGGCGACGATGACATGTGCAGATTTTCCGATGGTCCTTTCGAGGACCATCTCCAGTGGCAGAGATTTTTTTCGTGAGGCGCCCCCCTGTGCTGTTTTCGCACTCGTCGTCCTCTGCTTCCCATCCTGCAACTACTACGAGCTGCATGGCCCCACAGGTTTTGGCCCGCGTGTGCTTTTCTCGCAGGGCCAGTCCGTCGCACCGGCGGTGCGCGCTCGCCCGCTTTCGTCGAACGATTGCAGATGCGCTGGGTTGTTTTCGGATGTCGGCTGCCATATCCTGGCCCTCTTTTGAAGGTTTTCGGACGTGGCTTTTATGCTTGGTCCTCTCGATCTGAGCCTCCTAGATAGGCTCGGAGAAGATGGGGTCGCAGGATCGCCGATGCATCGGCGATGCATCGGCGATGCGGCTCGATGTGGAGCCCGATTCTCTTCACGCCGACGTCGCCGCTGCATCGCCGACGTCGCCAATGCATCTCCGATGCATCTCCGATGCAGCACCGACGTATCGTCCATGTGGGGCGATCTTCCGACTCTATCTACCCGGACCCCAGTGGGGCTGTTCCAGGCCTCCCAGGGGCCCCCGGAGGCTGCTGATTGACGAGTTCTGGGCCGTCCGGGCATGTCCAGGGAATTCCAGGCTCCCAGAGAGCGTCTCGGCCTGGGTGCCGCTCTAGACCAGCCAGCACAAGTGAACGACCATGGCTGCACAGGCAGCGCCTTGCACCAAGCACGCTTAGAGATAGCCAACCCTGGTAGCCAAGTGTACGAGCTGAGGCAGCACGTCTGAGGCTTCCCCTGCCCTGCCCCGTGTCTTCCCTTTTTCGTAACACCCCCTTTTTCTTGCACCTCGCAGTCGTATTGCACTTCATGTTTCTTCTTCGTGGTCGTGATGAGCGCCGCTGCCTGCTTTACACTCGGGCGCTTGCGTTCACGCCCTCTGCTGTGACCTTTCCGAACAACTGCCCATCGCGCGCTCTTCTGCCCACGCGTCCTTCAGGATGCAAGGCTCAGCGGTGGTGGAGGCATCCTTGGTCAATACTGACAGCTATATGTATACATATAACGGCGCACCGGGTCCGGGCGCCCGGGGCCGGCGCCGCTACCACAAAAATGGGCTCCGGGGCCCTCGGGGAGCCCCGGGGCCTCACAGAAGACCGCCAGAAGGCACCAAGGAGGCCCCAAGAGGCTCCAGAATGGACCCGGGACGCCCGAAGGTCGCTCCCAGACGCCCAACATGGCCTCCAAGGCGGCTTCAGAAGCCCCCAAGACACCCCAAGCGACCCCCAATAAAGCCCCAAAGAGAGCCCCGAGGGGCCAAAATAGCCCCATTCCCTTCGTAAAACGTATATTTTAAAGATATTGCTTGTTTTCGCTGTCGGTCCGGCCGAGGACGCGCCCCAGAGGGCTCCCATTCAGCCCCAGAGAGCTCCAGGACGGCCCACGAAGAGCCCAAGACGGCCGCAAATGTGAGCCCCGGGGCCCTCGGGAGCCCCGGGGCCTCACAGAAGACCGCCAGAAGGCGCCAAGGAGGCCCCAAGAGGCTCCAGAACAGACCCGGGGGACGGGACGGGCCAAGGGACCACGGGGGGCATGGCGTGTCACGGCCTCCGGGAGCGCTCACAGACGGCCCAAGGCAGTCCCGAAACGTGCTGAAAAGGGCTCCGAGGAGGCTCCAAGACGGTCCAATGCAGCCCAGAGAGTCACCGAACCATCGCCTAAGACGCCCAAGATGGCCCCAAGGCGCTCCGTAACCATTTTGGCTCAAGACATTGTGGCAACTCTTCAGGAATAGGGAACATTTGGTTTGTGCCTGTTGCTGCCAAGCCCCTGTTACTCCGCCGTTGCCGCAGTGAACGTCGTGGTGCTTGCGGGAGCGTTCGCCATCCTGCTCGTCGGCCGCGGCTGCGTTGCCGCCGATGACTTAGCCAAGACCTCGGAGGAACGCTGCCTGATGGATGAGGATTCGCACAACTGCGACGCCACGAACGAGGCCGACGGCGTGGGGCTACTCCAGTCACTGGCGTCGGGCCCCAGCGAACCGCAAATGGCGAACATTTGGAAGGACGCGACTTCGGACCACAAACAATATGAGGAGGCGCGAGTGGAGGATATACCGATCGATGTGCAGAACCTCAACTCAACCATGCATCGCCAGCATAAACATCCTGGCGACGTGCATCTCCGTTCCTCGGCGTACTGTACGTTGGAGTGCCCTGTAGCAAACACTTACTGCTGCGTCAAGAAGGAGCAAATCGGATTTGTTGTTTTTTTCGGGGAATTATCAAACTTGCTGTGTGGGTGACCGTGGTTGGGTTGTTCCAGGATATAAGTGCGTTCGAAATACCGACTGCGCAGGGGGGTACTGTTGTACTAATGCCATTTGTACCGCGTGCTAGCTCAATTGTCCTCTTCTGAATCCCGCTCGGTTTAACGTCCTGCCCGCTCGTATGATAACCTGCGCGCTCATTTTAAAGTCGCGTTCGCCGGGTCTGTCCGCCCGGCGCGACCCCAGCGAAGCGAGATTGGCAACGCGAGATGGGGGAAGCGAACCACAGTGCAACAACAAAAAAGATGGCCCCAAGGTGTCGCAGGAAGGCGCCGAGACGCTTCAAGGTGCCTCCCACAGGCCTATCAAAATGCCCCCCAAGAGGGCAACACATTCCAATTCCTTTGGGAACGTACATTTTTAGCAGAAGCACCTTTTTCGTTTTTCCGACGCTCCAAACAGTCCAAGAAGCCCCGAAGACCGCCTCAACGCAGCGCATGAGGGCCCAACAGACCCCAAGACAACCCAAGAGGGACCCAAGACAGCCCAAGAGACACCCAAGATGGCCCAAGAGGGCCCCAAGACGGCTTTAAGAAGGGGCCCAGACGGGGGATCCGAACGGACTTTCTGGGCCCTCGGCCCCGAGAGGCCCCCAAGAGGCGCCCGGGAGGCCCCCAAGACGCCGCCAGAGGCCCCCGTGGCCCCAAGAGGCTCCCGAGGGGCCCCCCAAAGCACCCCAAACGGCCCCCAACAGGCACTGAACCAGGCCCCAAGAGCCTCGGAACTGCTTCCAGGAGGCCCCCAAGAGACCTGCCACGAGATCCGAACGAACTGTTCAGATGCTTCAATGAGGAGCGCCAGACGCCTCCAGGACGACCCCGGATGGCCAGTTGTCGTCGCCGAGTTCGTTCGTCGTCGTCGTTGTCGTTGTCGTCGTCGTCGTCGTCGTCGTGCGGAGGTGACATGACCACCTCAGCTCATGACATCTCAGAGTCCACAGTTTACGAGGATGTCATAGGCGAACGTGGCTGGACCACCGTAGGACAGGGCATGAGGTCAGAGTTGCAAGGATATCTCAGGCCAATGTGTCCTGACCACCTCAGCTCAGGGCATCTCGGAATCCAGGGTTCCCCAGATGTCCCAAGCGAAAGTGGCCGAGCCACCATGGAGCGTGGTATCTCCTAGGTCAGAGTAGCGAGGATGTCTGGGGCGAAATTAGACTGACCACCCCAGCTCAGGGCCTCTCGGAACCCAGAGTTTCGAGGATGTCCCAGGCGAAAGCGGCCGGACCACCAGGGGGCAGAGCATCCTCGAGGTGAGAGTTGCGAGGATGTCTAATGCGGAAGCGGCCTGACCACCTGAGCTCAGTGCATCTCATCACCCACAGTTGCAGGGCCGTCTCAGGCGAGAAGCAATGACCACAATCAGGCAGGGCATCTCAGAGGTCAGGGTTGCGAAGATGCCTCAGGCAAAGGTGGCCACACCACCTCAGCTCAGGGCATCTCGGAAACCCGAGCTGCGAGAATGTCATAGGCGAAAACGACCGGACCACCATGGGGCAGGGCCACACCACCTCCGAAGTGTTTGAATATCTCAGCGGTGCTCGCGTCGTGCACCTTCCTCGCGTGGGCTATTGCTTGGACCTCGCATGGCCAAGCCCTGCTCTGCACCATCCCTCTTGTGCGCCTTGCCTTGTACGCTCTCACTCTGCGCGAACCCTTTCATTCTATTAGAAGTATCATCGGCCGCGGCCATCCGACGCCCCAAAGAAACACACTTAGGCTTCCCTCCTCCCCTGTCCCCCTCTTGACTCCATATGTCCTCGTGCATTTTTTTTCCTGGCGTTCTGCTCCGTGGTAGCTTCATAGCAAATCCCGTCCCTGAGCTTGGCTAGAACCGAAGCGCGCGCGAAGCGCGCATGGTTCTAGTATGCATATATATATATATATATATATATATTGGTTTGGTTATCCTCCCCCCAAGCCTATCCCGCACTCGCATCCTCGATCCCAATCGTTCGAGTCTCGTGAGTTCCCCTCCTCCCCCCCCGCACTCCCGCGACTCCGTCCTCGTGCAATTCTCGTGTTGTCGAGGATCCGTCTCGTGGTGGAGCCAACCCTGGTCAGCACTGACACCTATTTTTCTCAGCCTATCCCCACTCGCATCCTCGACCCCAATAGTTTGAGTCTCGTTAGTCCCCCCCTCCCCCCCCCGCCCCCCCCACGACTCCGTCCTCGTGTGATTCTCGTGTTGTCGTGGGTCCATCTCCGACGCAAGGGTGGGTGGAAGCCGTGCGGGGAGGGCGAGGTGCGCTCCTGCTGGGATCCGAGATGGCACCTCTGAAGGATGAGGAGGACGACGACGAGACTGCCGCGATCTCTCTTGTTGCTCGTCGACGGCACCACGCATCCCGCTCCTGACCCAGAGTTCCGATGTCTTGATATTTTCAATGCGGGGCCCCCAGAAGTCTCGACCCCTTCCCCCGGTACCTGTTTTTCGCTGTGACTCGCTTTCTGCCAGTCCTCTGGGCCCAGCGAGGGCTTCCAGAGGCAGCTCACGACGTTGGGTCTCTGGGGAGTGGCCGCCCCCCGACGCGGAGAGGCGGCGATGCAGGTGCTGAAGGTCCTGGGCACGAAGATGAAGTCCCACCTGGTGCTCATGGAGTGCCCATCGGCTCCTCTCGGGCAGCGGCAGGCTCGGGCGGGGGGCCCGGATCGAGGCATCGACGAGGGTCGAGGCATCGAGCATCGAGTTCTGATCCTCGACGACGATCGAGGATCGTGGATCGAGGATCAGAGCACGAGCATCGAGGGTCGAAGACCGAGCGTCGATCCTCCTCGAGCCTCGAGCCTCGATCCTCGCCCCTCGAGCCTCGATCCTCCTCGATCCTCCTCGATCCTAGCTCCTCGGGCCTCGACCCTTCCTCGAGCCTCGAGGCTCGAGCCTCGAGCCTCGACGGCGACGACCCTCCCGTCCCGTCGGCGGAGACAGCGCGGCCGCGCCCACGGGCCGTTTTTTTTTTTTTTTTCTTTTGTTTTTTGATTTGTTTTCCCCCTACCCAGGCTCTGCCTAGAGGGGTTCTTACTCCGTAGCTTGAAGGGGCCGGGCAGTGGAAAGCGCCCCGGGCGGTTCCCCCTAAAACGACGCGAAGATCGGGACAAAATCGGATCGGGATAACTCGAAATCTCTGAGAATCGGCGGGTTTGGAGGATGTATTGGGCGCCGCGGCCGCTCCAGAGCGTTCCGGAACGCTCTGAGAGCGCTCCGGAACGCTCTGGAGTGATTTATCC